CCCCAAAACCCCAAAACCCCAAAACCCCTAGCTAATCAGATATAAGAACAGATTAGAACTGAATAGATATAAATAGATAAATTTCATTTTTGGGAATAATGTCAAATAGCACAATATAAATACTTTACATTGAAATAATCAATTCATTTGCGATGGAAATTTCTTGAGCTTATCAGTAGACCTTATAATTTCTTAGTCTTGTGAACTACTCCTCTTATTGTCTTCTTTTTACTAGCTTCTCAGAATTTATTTATTAATCTAATTTTTTTAAGCTTTTGTTTTACTTGTGCTTTCAATTGATTTGTTTCTTTTCAAAGCGCTTGGCTGTTTTGTATTTAAGTCCTAACCTCCAAATGAGAATAAGTCATGCAGGCTATCATCAAATTTCTTGACGAAAAAGTTGTATTTCTTCCAGCAAAATTTACAAATATTATCCTCTAAAGTCTCTCTAGTCACTTAGCATTATAAGCACTGATCCTCATATTCTATAAATAGAAATATATAAACAAATCACATTGAAACTTAAAGTTTATTGCCAGTTTATTTTGTGTTTACACAATTTTACAAAATCATTATGACGAGATTAATGTAAATATTTCCATTCATGATGCATTCATTAGTAAATATGTGTCTTTAGTAATTATTGGGTACTTACATCTCTCAAGAATACTGGTCAAATATCTCTCGTCCACTAATTCTTATAATTCTTGCATTCCACCTATGAAATTACCATTGATGACAATTATTGGGAGATTATTAGATCCCCCATAACCTTTGATCTCATTGATAGTCTCTTGATTAGCTATTTTAGGGTCGTTTAAATCAAGCCATTTATATTTGAGTTTCATTGCATCGAGAATGTACTTTATTCTCTCCTAGTCAGTTTAAGTCTCAATATCAATATTCAAAGAAGTCACATATACTTTGATTTCGTAAGCTCTTCTTCTTTTATTAATAAGGTAGAGTTTTCTGGCTCTTCTTTCTCTCCAGTAGCATTAAATCCTAAATGCTGCTAAGTTTTCCTATAAATTTGGAGTGAAATAGTAAAGTGATACCTTAGATAAAAGATATCTAAACCATTCAGAGGCATTTGAAGATTTTGAGGCATCTACACTCTATGGATCGAAGAATTAGCTTTTTGAGGTATTCATTATTCTCTCAATAAATTACAATTTATTTGCTGTTTAATTAAAATAATAAATATTACTGTTTATCCTAATTTTTCTTAATAATTCAAAAATGTAGTGCTGCGGGGTTTTGGGGTTTTGGGGTTTTGGGGTTTTGGGG